TTTAGTGGCTACATCTCTAACCAGGAATCGAGCTGATAGCTTTCTAGATTACTGGGCTACGCCTTAACAGAGTGAACAATTATTCTGTGCAAGTGTCGACTGGAGTGTAAACGTTTTTATCCAACTTCTTTCTTACCCTAAAACCTATACATAATAACATTAAAAACTAATGTTGAAAAGCATAAACTTTTTATGGAGATAGAATTATCGTACATTTTGAAAGGATCAGAATAGCAACACGAAAAATCCTTTCAATCAGCTTTTATTTAATACCTGATAGATAATGTAAGTCTCTTACGAGCGGTAATAATTAATCGTTTTCAACTTTTTTAATAAAGGCCCGCATAAAAAATGAAAAAGTATCAAAACCATTGCTAAAAAAGATTACCTGGAACGAAGTTACGCTCGTGTCTGTTTACGTAAGCCACGACGATTACATATAAGCCAAAACTTTAATTCGCACTTTTTTTGGCATTTAAATCAGCTCTCGTTTGCCCTCGATATCATCAATCCAGGAATATCTTTGCACGAAAGCTTTAAAGTTACGATCACATACCCCCCATAAAGACATTGTATAAAGAAAATATTCCTCTTGATATAAAGTAAAAACATTCCTTTTTATATGAGCACACTGCAAAATCAACGTCAACAGAGCTTTCATCTTTAGTAGCCATTTTTGGCCATGTGTATGATCTTTCCGCGAATGACGTCATTCATTGAAAATTCAAGATGGCGCCCAGACTTATTAAAAGCGTGTATACCAACAGCAAAGGTTCCAAGGCTGAATTTTTCTCTGCCAGAGTGCTTTTTAAAGGAGTTAGTTTATTGGTGGAAAGGGCTCGCAATATCCAACTTTTTAAATTTTAACATGACGTGTTATGAAATTATAAAATCACTGTTATCCTCATCAAAATTTTGATTATGTATAACGTCAAACTCTTTCTTTCCTTTTTGTCGTTCGTTTAGATAGTACAAACACCAACAACCACAAAGAACAGAATCTCTGTTTTGTAATTCGTCCTAAGAGAAAATGAGCCCTTTTCCAGCTGATACTAAATAGTGATAAATTTAATGTGGCATGATTAATCCAAATGGGTCAAAATATTCAACAAATGAATCAATATTTCGATAACAAACCCTGTGTGTTCCAGGTCCTTGATTATCATCGAGATTAACTATTCCACATTCTTTTCCAATCTTTTTTGGTAAAGCATTTCTACTAAGGATATCACGAAAATGTTTAATTCCAAGCTTTTTTAATCCAATCAAACAAATCAAAGTTATTTTTAGACAGTGGTTTGTTTACAAAATTCAGCCTAGAACTGGAATTGAATTAAATGGGCTGTTTGGTCCGAGTAACAGTCCTTTTCCTTTTCCTTTTCCCTTTCCTTTACTCTTTTTTTTTTTCCTCCCATTAAAATTGGATTTTCCAGCTTCCGTTTTAAGGTTGTGGAAAATATGAGTAATGTTCTTCACCATGTGTTTGAACAGGTGGTACATAAACATTTCTTGTATTAGATGATGGTTGTTTATCAACTTGAAGTCCACTTCCAAACATTTTTGATACTAAACTAATCGCCATTGGAATTCCAATAGATGGTAATGTCCCCCAAAATACTCCTTCAATTTGTTTTCTTGTTGGTTTAATAACCAATCATCCTCGTGTTTGATAAGCCTTGTTAATTTGGTCTATTTGTGCTTTTGTAAATTATTTTGAAAATTATTTCTTATTGCAGAAGCTAATTTTGACTTTTGATTATTTGTTAAACTTACACCATATTCAAAATAAGTTGTCATTTATTTATAGAATAATATTAAATTTAAGCTCGTTGCTTGTTGTTCTATTTCAGCGGTCTTTTCGTGAAGGACAAGAGCGTAAATATTATAATCTGTCGTTGTGTTGTCTGATAGTTCGTAATGAAACGCTAGTTTTGTAACTCCATCTTTGATATCCATTTTTTGTTTCGTCAGCTCAAAATAAACAAATGGGAATAATGTTTTAAACTTACTTATATTAAGAAGTGTTCCACCTTGGAAATCGTTGTTTGCATAAACATATGACATTACATCCCTATAAACTCTTGATAAATCTTCATTTGGTTTGTAGTGAATATCAGGGTATTCATTTCCATTTCCAAATTCAAGGTAACATCTATTTAATGTTCTTGAGTCTGTTGATACACTAAAGGTGTTATGCAAAAATGAATTACTTAATTGATTGTCAATATTTGCAGTGTTGATGAAAAATACAAAAACACGTCTTGGTTTTGAAATACTATTTTTAATAAAATAAAATAAATGAATAACGATTTGCAGGTAGCACATCCACATAGTGGTTCTGTAATTCTGAAATGACCGGTCTTTTGCTTGGAGTTATTTGATTTTCATTTAAATAAGTCCATTTGTATGGTTTAAGATAATTTTCCATGTATAACGTTTGTCCTTCAGCAATAAATATTAAGTAGTGGACCAAAAAGGTGAAGTCGCAGTATAATTAATCTGTAATTATTTCCTGCTCCATCAGCTCCTCTTGTCTCCAAATTAAATTTTGGTCTTTTTCATATTCAATTTCTAAATCAATTTTTGTATTTGGAAGTAAATTACATTCTAATGCTTCGATAAATGAATATCTGTTAAGAGGAATTTCGCAATTTACTTTGGATGATAAACCCAACAGCGCCTTTCTTGCAGCGAACCCCTTATTATAAGTTGCATTAACACCATCCACAAAAGCTCTTGCTTCATAAGCAGTATTAGCATCATTTCTACCGTGTTCAACATTTCGTGTTGTATATTTAATCTCCTCTGCACTTCTTGTTGTGTCAAGAAAGTAAAATTCGTTTGTGCCAATACTCTCAGCATATGAAGGATTATACTCAAGCAAATTTTTGATATTTACACAATGGTTGGCATAATTACAACTATAAGCCTCTCTTCCATTTGCAGTGATTTTCAAATTTTTTATAAATGAATTGGAACCATTTACAATTCCGTTATGGTCAGTAGCAGCAAGTGCTGCTGCATTTGCTAATTTACCCACTTTAAAATCAACTGATGATCTTGCTTTATACCAATCAAATGGAGTGGCTTCTGTATTATTAGCAACAATCTTAAGACCGACCCTGTTTTGATAAGCAGTGTTTGCTGGGTCAATATCGAGAGCTTGTTCAAGGTCAAAAACAACATCTTCATATCTTTCAAGATATTTTGGATTTCTAAAGGACTTCACAGTACTTTAATAATTATATAATTTTCCTCTTACAAATTTTTCCTCCACTCAAAATTTGATTCACTCTTCGATTTATCTCTTGGTGAGTCATTTTCTTTCGAATTGGCTTAACACTTACATTATCGTTAAAAGTAACTTTTTTTGGAATTTTTTTACTCTCACCACTTTTTGATAACATTTTAACTATCACCACCCTTTTTACCAACATGTTCACCAGTTTTCGTTGCAGCTGCTGTCACTGCTTTTTCAGCTCCTTTTTTAGCCGCTTTTTTCATTGTTTTTAATTTTCAAATAATTTATTTACCAAACGACTTAAATACTTCAGTTATTCCTTCTCCGTAAATATGTTGTCTTGTAAATTTCCCTGTTTCATTTTAAACTCCGATTGTCTCATCATTTTATTTATAGAATTATATTACATCGAATGGAGTATCAAAGTCAAAAACCAATCAATACCGTTAAAATTTACCGGTCGCCCAAGTGAGTCTGTTACAAACATTCTCATTTCAGCGATGTTAAATGATGAAACAGGGCAATACAAAGGTCTTCGCTGTTCAAATGTGACTGGATAAGACCTTGTAAGATTATCTGTTGGAATCACAGCAATCGTATTTGTATTTATTCCATTTACAATGCTATCATTTATTACACTTGTGTTGATATTTAGTACATCAATCGAATTTGTAATATTTGGTAGTTTTGTTCCATACTCTGTTTTTGTAACAAGTCTTTTTTTTCAAATCCAATGAGGTCTCCAAATTCTGTTCTTCTCAAATCAAGTTGATGGTCGCCTTCAATTGAAATTAAATCTCGGTATGTGGAAAGAATAGAAGTTAAATTTATTGAATAAACTTGTTTTCTTCCTGAGTCGGTTGAGTGATGATTTTTTTGAGCCATGTACGATGAGTATAATCATTAATATCTGAGTAGAAATACATTCCATCTGTGAAAGTAATTGTTTGCCATGTTGAACCATCATGAGTGTATTTGATTTTCTTGTTTTTGTAATCACTTCTAATGTTATACCATGAGTAAGTCATTGATAATCGGTCAAGAGTAAGTTCGGGTCAAGTTTCAGAGGTGGATTAAACTTGATTGTAAAATCACCGGGTCTGCTTGTTCCTCTTTTTTCTCGATTTACTGAGGAAATATGAATAGCTCGTTCTTCCATTTTTATTTAATTTTTATATAGTTTTTTAGTAAATTATTTAGTTGTTTCTTTGTGATTACTTTCATTTGGTTGAGAAGATGTGCGATTTGAGACAACTCTGGTATTACACCATTATTTCCAGCAAGAATTGAACCACCGAGTAATTCAAATCTGTCAAGAAGCTAATGTGGGTTGTTAAAGTAGAAAATGCCAGAGCCAGTTTCTGTTTTACGTTCAATTGATTTTTGCATGTTAAATGAATAATTTGATAAAGTATTAAACTTACTTATTATTTTCAGTGTTCTTTCATCCGGTTTGATTTTTACGGGATAAGCTACATTCCTTCCATCTTCATAAACAACTTTTATAACGGCAGGATTCAAATCTTTTTTTAAATCATTAATTTTTTCCTTAGCTTTATTATAGTATTTTTCTGTGAAATCTAATCCACTAAGTTCAGTTTTAAAAGAACTTGGATTAGGTAAACATTCTTCTTTTAAAATATCTTGACTTTCTTTTGACATCAAATACGTCTTTAAATCTTCTTTAGTAAATGGTTCTTTTTAAAAAGTTTGAGAAGAAGCACTTTTTTTCCTCATCATCTGCATCAAATAAATCATCATTACAAAAAAACAGTTGGATAATGTTGGTGGTTCTGGCGATACAACAAAAAATATTGATTTGAAAAATAATTGTAATGTTGACAAAAGCAAAACAACAACATTTCAAGAACTATCAGTTGCAAAACAATCATTAACTAATTTTGAAGAAGGAAAAGAGAACTTTGTTGGAATAAATGAATCATTTCCAATGAAAACATATTTGGATATGGGAGATAAATACCTCTTATTAGCCGAATTTTCGGACCGTACTGTAAATTACGGACGGAGTTTTTTTCCATCGATTTATGACTCAAGCGCGAAGCGCTCGGGCCATAAATCGATGGAAAAAAACGAGGAACCGTAATTTACAGTACGGACCGAAAAAACGAGGCTAATAAGATGTTTACTATATGGCTTCTTCCTGTTTGGGGGACCGGAAACAAGTGCAGGACGCATGATTTGACAGTCATTTGACAGGTGCCAAAAAAGAACGTTTAAATTGCGCTCTAAAACAATAGCACGTGACAAAGGCTTTCCGAGAAAGTAAAAACAAATTCGCCATGTTAAAAAAGTTTATTCGGTCAAAACTAAGAGCACTGTAAGTTTTAGCTCTTTAATGTAACGCTGGAGTATTTCAGAAAGTCGTTTCCATCTTCCCTCCGATTGTCCTTGTAAAAAAACACTGCAAAAGGCAAAGAAGCTTTTCAAAGTAAGTTTGTTGTCATTGTCGAAGGATTCGCTCGTTAATTGTTTTTGGGAAAACCTCTCTTTCTGCCAGTTCATTCTCGTCTTCAATTGTGATCTGCGTTAAGTTTTTCAAACACTGACTAGAATTCTCTTCCTCGGTAAGTTTACGATTCAGTTTCTACAACAGCTTCGTTCTCATTAAAACAAAGCTAGGTTAAAATTTGGAAAGGCAAAGTCAACATCCCAGTCCTCCGGGTTTACCTACATATTTCAAAGTTTATTCGGTGGATACTAAGAGCACTGTAAGTATTCACTCGTTAATGTGACGCTGGAGTCTTTTGAAAACTGGACATTATTGTGTCTGGCTCGAACTCGCTACTATCTTCTTTCGTTGGTCTTTGAAAAAAACACTGCAAATGGCAAAGAAGCGTGTCAAGATGATCGGGTGAGGTATGTTTGTTGTCATATTTGTTGAAGGAATTACTCATTTTCTGTTAGGCTAAACATCTCGAATCTCTGCCAGTCGATTTTCGTCGTCTTAACTGTGTACTACGATAAAATTTTCAAACACTGGCTAGAATCCTCTTCGATAAGATTACGAGTTAGTTTCTTTATCGCCTTCGTTCACAAATAAACACAGTTTAAAATGTTGAATGCTTAAGTCAACATCCAAGTCCTCAAGGTTGACAGGCGTCTTATAACTTTATTTAAACATTTTTTCCGAGGTAGAGAGATTTAGACCTCCGAGATGAGCATTTTCTTTAAAAATTGTGGTCCGTATAGCAAGTTACGGACCGCAAATTGACCAATCGCATGGCAAAAACAGACTCAGCCATATAATAATTGCATTTATAATGTTAAGCCTCCAATTAACAATGACCAAGGAGCAAACAAAGGATATGTCGACTCAGCAATAACTGCTGATTATCAAAAAAGTCGAATATTGATTTGAAAAATACTTACAATGTTCTTAATAGCAAAAAACGAAATGCAATATCATTAGCAGCAAAAAAAAATACTCTTATAAGTCTAGCTGAAGGAGAAGAACATTTTGTAAAGATCAATAATGAGACTATTATGTGGGCAAAAATAAATATGAATAACAATCAAATATTCAACCCTCCACTTCCAACTGGGCAAAATCAACCAACAACATTGGCTTTTACAGACAACAAATATCTTCCTCGTGATGGAATAGCTGCAATGCTTAATGACTTGAATATGGATAATAAAAAAAAATAATTAATTCAATACAACCAACATCTGACACAGATGCTGCAAACAAAAAGTATGTGGATGATAATAAAGTTGATGTTAGAAATTATCTTAAAGCTGATGAAACAAACAAAATGACTAGAGATTTAAACATGCATTATAATCACCGAATAAAACACCTACGTGATGAACCTCAAAGTGGAACTGGTGCAGTAAATAAAAATTATGTTGATTCTGTAGTGCCTCATTCACATGTTAAACCAAGTCATCAAAAAGATGAATTTGCATTTTTGATGTCAAATGTGTTAGAATGGACTGATTTACTTGGTAGTAGTTGTAATCTTACAAAGATTGCAGATTTATCACCAACTAATGGCAATTTTCACACATACAATCACAAAGTAATATATAACACATTGTATAAAAATCAACAGGATGGTTTTAAGTACAAAATGGGAATTAATTGTTACACTTTGCAATTAAACGTTGATTACACACTCTGTATTGAAATCATGAATATTAATTATAATCTTTGGAATAATACAAAAGTTTCAATTGATAGAACAGCATCTCAAGGATTAACGATTGGAAATGTTTTAATTAAAAAATTCAGACATGTATTTTCTAATTTTCAGAATAATGAACAGTACATGTATTATCACAGACTGATAATTAATTTCAATGAAACAGCAGAATCACATCCATATTAGCTTCATCTGCTTGTTGATATTCCTCATCTTCAAAGTAATTTAAAAGTTTATCCAAAAAACTTTTCAGGAACTTATATTGTTGCTTACGGAATCTTGGGTCAAGTGTCAGATGTTGATGCTGATAAAGTTTACGACTATCACACAGCGTTTGATATTAAACCAACAGAAATTTTACTTAATGTTAACATAAATGCAAATCAAAAAACAATTCGAAATATTGCTTTGGACAAATACAGTGATAGTAGTGCTGCAACAGTTGGAATGGTAAAGGAAATTATTCCTTTCATAAAAAACAATTTGTATAGAAAATATTTTGAAGAATTTTATGACTTCAGTGATGCAAGCAATTATAAACTGACAATAGGTGCATCAGGAGTTACTTTTACAGGTGTAAATCCAAATTTAACATTTCAGACAACAAAGGAATTGAGTATTATTTAAGACTACAATACAATTATGTTGATGTTGTTATTCCTAACAGTCAAAATTTCACTATTGTGTTGTAATGAATCTTTGGCTAAACAGAAACCTTAAATAGTTTTTTCGCAATTAATTCTGTTTCAACAAAAATATTAAGTTTTGATAAATCAACAAAAAAATTAAGTTTAATAACAAACACAGGAACAACAATATTACTATACCAAATTTATTCAATGGAAAAAAATTGCTTTATGGATGGCAAAAAATAGTAATGCAAACGTTACAAAATCGACGATATCAAATGATTCCGCAACCTTGACACAAAATTAAGAAATAAATTTCAATTATCAACGAAAGACGGGATGTTTTACAGATTTATGTTTT